GACAGCTTGCCCGGGTAAGGTAAATTCCACCCAATCTTCTCCAATGAACTCGGGTTCCCTATAGTCGAAGTGACAAAGCTCAACTGGGTGCTCTGTCTTGTCGTGAGGCATCTAGTCGTCCACGGAGCTCCTGTCTAAAATCCGGCCCCTGTCTATCTCCCCACTTGTCTCCGCTCTCCTTACCTCGTCTCTGACCCTAAACACGATTCTGCGCAACTGTCTAAGTGTGGGAATTGCTCGGTCTAGACAGTAGGTAAGTAACCAGGCTAGCTCGACGACAGTTATCCTGAACTGCGTCGCCCTCTGCACTACAGCTAGTAGCCTCTGATGTCTCTCCTCATCGCCAAAGACTACTCCTGTGAGGAATCTAGGAACGATAATCGCTCTCACAGACGTAGCTCTAGGCAGCTCCCAGTCGTACGCAAAACGCACCGTGTAAAAGGCTACCGAGTCGGCTCCGCTCCTCTCCACAAACTCACTGAACACTCTCGCACAGAATCTACGTGCTAATGATGTCAGGCATAAGAGAGTGTGACAACGACGGGCAGTCTCTATCACCAGATACCTCCACTCCTCCTCTGAGAGATATAGTCTAATGTTCACTTCTGCGCGAAGAGGTTTGCTAGCCCTGTCCCTCCTAACACACACTCTAGGCTCCGCCTCAATCCTCACCCACAGGAAGACGCCCTCGCGTATGACTAGACCTCGCTGTTCAGACGGCCTATACTTGCTCGATCCCTCCAACAGAAGACTAATGACGTCACAGAAGCCGCTCCGTTCAACGAGATGTATTTGAGATTCCGATTCGATGTAAACCATTCCTAAGCAAAATGAAAAAACGGTTCTCTCTCAGTATGTCACTCCCTGTGCAACTCTCAGACTGTTGAGCTCACACACCTTCACGATAGGCCTCCTCTGATCACCCCTGTATCCCTTCAAGACGTCAACAGGCCTAGAAGAGAACCGTCCTCTGGCGTATCTCTCCCTACCCTCGTGTCAAGAAGGAGGTCGGATCAATGTGCCATCGTCGCTGGCCTACCTTCCCTGTCGCGACCTGAGCACGAGCCGGCCAACTCATGTGCTCTAGGGTGGACCGAAGTCACACGCGAATAGGGAGGTGGTGTCTCACTAGTGCATCCTCACTCCTATCCATACCTCTACTCGGCCCACCTCAGGCATGGTCTCACATCCCGACTCGTGTTGTGAATCAATCCCCCCTGCTATCCATCAGAATCGACTAGCCTGTCTAGTCCCTGCCCAACTCCTTGCAAATCCGGGGCGCTTCTCCCCTCCCCTTCAGTCCCTTCAAGTCGTCCCCTGCTCACGATTCTGTCTCTTAGATTCAATATCTGGGTGGACTGACCAAAGGGTAGGGAAAATCAGAATGACGTCCCTCGATCACAAGGAAGGCAACAGGAATGAAATGCATGAAAGACGAGAAGAAAGCAGGAATCTGCGAAACCACGAAATGCAGAAATCACAATCTCACCGGTGAAAGTCGACCATAGGTCGATGGGGGTGTCGTCTGCCCGCTCGTGCCCGTACTGTCCAACGTCTCACTTGGGCATTCAGACCACTGGCCAACTGCTTAGCCTCCTCCGTCTGCCCTGTCTCAGTCACATCCCTGTCCTGATCCTCTCACATCCCCGCGGTAACAGGCGGACCGAAGTCCCGAGAGGCAGCCTTCCCCGGCAACGGCGCCACTGTCGACTGGTAGAAGGGGTCTGCCGGCACGCCGTCCAAACCCTATGCCTCGCGCCGCGTCTGTCACCCGCGGGAGGGTCGGTCGGGGCTCCTATAACCTGCACAAAACATGTCAGTCCACATCAACAAATACAAGTACCGTAGCCGACCGTGATCAGTGCAAGAAGAAACTCACGAAACACTGTCTCGTAGAAATAATAGAAGTAGTTTCATTCAGTCCAAAACAATGGGATGGGAAACACTCGTTCCGGCCTCAACCGTACACCCCGCTCCTGTGTCTGGGAAGTCTGTCTGAGTCCCTACAGACCTAGTCAACAAGCGTCGTCTAATCCTCCTCCCGATTGGGTGGCGCCTGTAATGCGCTCGTCGATCCCAAGGAAYAGTGCTTGAACTCTCAGTGTCGGAAGTAGCCTCCCTTGCCCATCGGGGCCAAAGCTCCAGATCCACCGTGACCATAGTTCGGATGTGCCCCTTCGGAAAGCCTGCTTCACGAAAGTACCCGCTYGAGAAGCCCCCTTCGGAYGTACCCCTTYGGAAAGCCCACTTCACGAAAGTACCCGCTCGAGAAGCCCCCTTCGGACGTACCCCTTCGGAAAGCCCACTTCACGAAAATACCCCCTCGAAAAGCCCGCTTCACAAAAAAATACCTCTTCGGGATAGTGTTCCTTCGGTAAAAATATCCGCTCGATGAAATAACCACTCGGTAAAATACCTGCACGATAAAGTCTTCGCAGGACGAGGTACCCACTCGGTGAAATGTATCCTCTCGGTAAACGTACCCCGCTCGATAAATATATCCGCTCGGTAAAAGAGTCCGCTCGGTAAATGCTCGTTCGGTAAGTGTCCCCCCGGTAATGTGCCCCTTCGATAGAGTGCCCGCTCGGTAGAAAGGTACGATCAGTGGAACACCCGCTCGGGAAAACACTCACACGGTAAAATCTACGCGCGACGCAGTACCCGCTCGGTAAAATGTCCCCTCTCGATAAATGTATTCCGCTTGGTAAATGTGTCCGCTCGTTACACGAGCCCGCCCGGTAAAAAAATCTGCCCGGTAAATGTGTCAGCCAGGTAAGAACGTCCAATAGGTAAAAATGGTCGCTCGGTAAAACGTATGTTCGGTAAAACACCCTCTTCGGTAAATGTGTCCCTTCACTAAAATACCCCTCCGTCGAGTGTCCCTCCGGTAGCGTACCCGCTCGGGTAGAAAGCCCCCTCCATCGAGCCTGGTTCGGATAGCGTCCCTTCACGGGGCCAGACTCAGTCTGGTTCCAGTTGATGTCCCAAAGGCCCTGTCCCGTCCCATGTCCCGATCCGCGCCCGATGGCACTGGTCTGGTCCGATCTGGTGATCTGCTCCCCGTAGCCTGGTTCGGCGAGATGGCCGATCTGTGTCCCACAGCCCGGTTCAATCCAGAGACCCAAAGTCGCGTCCAAAGATGCCACCTTGCGTGGTGCCCGAACGCTCCTGCTGCTTCCCTGTTCGTATGCCCACAGGCACGGGGTGACCGTACTCAGTCGCGCGCTCGTGGGCGCGTGCGTGCGCGGTGGGCTCTCGTAGACGAGAGCAGCTCCTCTGGGCTACTCTCCTCCTCCGTATACTAATGCGTGCCGATGCGCGTGGAATCCCCCCCCCGTGGCTCTCTCTCTCTCTCCAGCACGCTGATGCGCGCGAATGCGCGCAGGATTCCCCCCACGGGGCTCGCTCTCCCATGTGCGGTCGTGCACGGATGCGCACAGGTTCCCCCCGCGGTTCTCTCTCCAGCGCGCGGATGCGCCCAGGTTCCCCCCGCGGTTCTCTCTCCCTCGCGCTGTCGTGCGCGGATGCGCGCAGGATTCCCCCCGCGGTTCTCTCTCCCGCGCGCTGTTGCGCGAGGATGCGCGCAGGTTCCCCCCGCGGTTCTCTCTCCCGCGCGCTGTCGCGCGCGGATGCGCGCAGGATTCCCCCCCCGCGGCTCTCTCTCCCGTGCGCGGTTGCGCGCCGTCTCCCCGGCTCACCCTCCTCTCATCCGCAGGTGCGTGCGGTGCGCGCAGCTCTCCTGCGGCCCTCTTCCCTGGTGTGAGGGTGCGCGCAGGTGCGCACAGCTATCCCCGCGGCCCTCTTCCCCGGTACACGGGTGTGCGTGGTCGTGCGCGCAAGTGTGCCCCCTTCCGTGCGCCAGTGCGCGCGTTCTCATGTACGCCCAGTGCGTGACAGCGGTTGCGCAGTTCTCCCATGCTCCAGTCCTCCGGCGGCTCGTGCGTCCCGTCCCCTCGTACGTCCCGTGCGCCTGGGCTCCCGTGCGTCTCGAGTCCCGTGCGCCTCTGTTCTCCCTCCCGAGAGTGTCGTGCGTCCGTGCTAGCGAAGAATGTCCCGCGTCTGGGCCCGGTTGAGCTTAAGTACTCGGTCGGGCCCTGCTCTCAAGTGTGTGTCCCGGCTTCGGGTGCACTGAGGCAGCACACAACTTGCAGCGCCTCGGTACCGGGGCTGAGCCTGGGCCTGATTGGGTCCCCGAAAAGTCCCCGCTGAAAAGGGCCTTCCCGTCGGGAACCGGGCCCTTCGCAGCGGCCTGGTTCCATGGCTAGTCCCGAGCCTGTCTTAGGCCTTCCCGGGCCTAGGTGGTCCCTGCGTCCCAGTGGGACCGCCCCTTCGGAAGAGAATTCGACTGGCCCAATGGCCTCTTGCCCTTGGTGTCGGCCCGTGCCATGGTCGGTGAGTCCCGACGGGATAAAGTAGGCCCCTTGTTCGCAGCGTCGGTCCGCTTCATGGTCGGTGTGTCCTGGCCACGTAAAACAACGTCGAGCAATGATATCGTCGCGCCGTTCTCCGGCGTGTCTTCTCACCGGATGGTTGATAATTGTCGGTAACCCCGTCGGTCCCAGTGTCAGTCCGTCTCATGGTCGATGAAGCCTGGCCAGGTAGAATACTGTCGAGTGGGGTTGTCGTCGCGTGCCCTCTGAAAGGAAGTAAAGGGCGGCGTAGCATTGTAGCCGCCCGACAACGTGCGACATTTGCATGCTCCCCGGACGTGTAGGAGGTCCTTAGCAAGAACCGTGTCCGGCGGAATGGGAAGAGGAGTCGCCTCACTTCCCGTAGAGCTCAGTTTCCCGAGCTTCGCCATGGACAAATATCGTCTTTGCCCTTGTCGGGGCATTGAGTCGGAATGTGCATGGTGCTGTTGCACCAAAAACAGCATCCAAACTTTTGGTGGTGCTTGTATTGCACCTCCGTAAGTCCAAACTGTGTCCATGGCTGGTTCGGTTGTCTGACTTCCGACGTTGATGCTGATTTTGCCTTCTTCTTTCATGTGTTGGTGCATCGTGGCGGAAGGGCATTGATTTGGTCTCCTTCACTTGACGCAGGAGTCGATGCCTGGTCTTCTACTTGTCCACTTGATTGGACTGCAGCGACAGGCTGTGTCTGCTGTCCCTTGCCTTTGTCCACAAAGTTCGGTTGGCCTTGCCGTTCGTTGGTGGCCCGCCGGTTGGTTTGGATGATGGCACATGCACGCTTGACAATGGAGTCAAAGTCAGCGTACCACTCCTCTTGTCCGAGTGCCTGCGTCAAGTAGTCGGTTGACCGTTGAAAGAACTTGCGTCGAATGTGCTCGAATGGCAGGTTCAAGTCCGAAACGGCAACGATCTTTTGCCATTCGGTCAGTTAATCATGCATAGGCTGACTCCCTTGGTACATTTGGAACACTTGGTTTGCAGCCTTCGGCTTCGTGTGTTGTACGATGAACCGGTCCTTCCACAAGGCCTCAACGGTCTCCCATTCGAGCTTGGTGTGCAAGCGATCGACGTTGACTCCCGCCTTGACCGCCAGGTGGTTGAGCCAGACTTGGCAAACACTGGTGGTATTGAGGTAGAGTGCTGCAATCCGAAAGTAGTCGGGCACTTCACGGAGTCCGACTTCCGTGATAAATCCTTGCCACCAAATGAGCGGATTGGTCTTCTTGTAGTCGTCCAACTTTTCGATCCGGAAGTTCGACATCTTGTACAGACGCGGGGTGGAGTTGCCTGCTGGTTGCTGCTGCAACATGGGGACGACGGTCTTCAGCACCATGAGCTGTTGGCTGATCGTTGCTGGTCTCGCGAGCGTGCCAAGGTCGTCGATTGTGGCGACCACATGGTCGATCCGTTCCTCCAGCTCTCGCGTTGATGGTTGGCTGGTACTTGGGCGGGCGCTTGCTGAAGTGGCGTCTTCCTGTTCCAAGTGATCAAGGCGCGCATTGAAACTGCGATTTGTATGACTTTGCGTGTCTCGAGTTTCATTTATGACGCGCTCGAGCCGCTGCAACTCTTGCTGTTGCCAGCTGCACAGTGTGGCTGCGTACTCCAACTTGTGATGTTGCCGGCTTGCCGAAGCGTCTTGTTGGAGGCGCTGGACGACATTAGCTGCTTCATCCTGGTGCCGACATTGAGCTTCGGCAGCTTCTTGCTGTTGCCGTAGTAGTTCGGCTACATCCTCAGCCTGCCGCTGCTCCTCTTCAGCCACCAATTTGCTGAAGGCGAGGACGCGGGCGGCAAAGTCCGAGATGGATTCGCCTGGCTGTTGGCCAGACATGCCTTGGAGTGCGGGACCGATAGGTCCCGGTTCCCCACTGGAACTACCAACCTGTGTGACTACTGCACCTCCGACGACCGTTGGGATGGTCACAACTGTAACCTGTGTCGGCTGCGGAATCCGGAGGGCCGGTTGGGGCTCGACAGGTGCGGGAACTGCAGCATGTTGATGAGTGGCAATTCGTGCGCTGCGCCTGAGCATTCAGGCTGCTGACATGGCCCTTGTTGTCGTGGCACTGACTGACATGGCACCTGCTGACGTGGCACTCGCTGACGTGGCACTTGTAGACATGGCACTGCTGACGTGGCACTTATCAGGCCGAGAGAAAACAAGAAGAGGGAGGGAGGGGAAAGGGTAGGCCGACAAGCAAACCAAACTGCGATTTCCAATCCCGTACGCTGGACACTAATCAACAGAAAACAAAAGAAAGAGAAAAAAAATCGGAAAAGACTTCCTGTTTTTTTTTGTTATGAATGTCTGTCGATACTGTGTCCGTATGGCATGGTCAGTGGGCAGTCGATGGAAAATTTCACAAACAGTTCGAATTTGTCGACAAAATAGAAATTTAAATTTGCGGACAATTCAAATTTTGAGAGTAAAGATAGCACAGTGCGGGAGAATCCGAACTATCTGAAATTTCTACTTTGGAATGCTTTCACATAGACCAGGCTGGCTTTATCCCAGGAAGATATATCCTAGATAATGTGCTAACCTTAAATGAGGCAGCCAAAAAAGTCAGAGAAAAAAGACTAAACACAACAATCTTGTTCTTCAATTTCGAGAAAGCCTATGACCAAGTAAATTGGGCTTTCCTCAACTCGAGCATGGAAAAAATGGGTGTTGGACCCAACTTCAGGAAATGGGTCAGAGTCCTCTATAACGATGCATCAGGATGTGTTCAGGTCAACGTTCTTCTGTCGGAAACCTACCCAATCTCAAGATCTGTGCGACAGGGGTACCCCCTTGCTCCGCCAATCTTTCTATTTGTAATGGAAGCTATTGCCTCCTGCTTACACAAAGAGCCCGCAATACAAAGAATGTCGGAGATTAATGTCGGTACCCATCACCACATCCAATTCCCAACAGTCATAATGTTTGTTGATGACCTTGTGTTCCTTATAAGAGCGTCGGACTCCTCGGCGAAAGCCCTTGTCAGAGCAATCGAAGCCTTCAGGGCATCTGAAATGAAATCAATTGGAAAAAAACAGTAGGCTGGTGGCTTGCAGAGGAAGAAACACCCAGGCTGGAAGGTCCCGAAGCGGACATGACGTGGGAAAAACCGAAAGAGCCGACAAGATACCCGGGGATTCTGGTAACCAAGGATTGCCCCGCGCCACAAATGGCACAAAACCTGCTAACTAAGCAAATTAACAGAATGGGACGATGGGGGAACACGTTTAAGTCACTGTTAGGAAGGGCCCTAACCATCAACACATCTATCTTCTCTATGATGTGGTGTATTGCCTCCATCTGGACTATACCTGATCAAACGACCAAAGAATTGAACTGCAGAGCTAGGCATACCTCTCGTCAGGTGACCCTAACAAAACTAAATACATACAAGGGTACCTGTTGCAGCTTCGCCAGCAAGAGAATGAAGGGAAAAGGGTGCAAATGAGGGTGTGTAGGGGTTTCTTGGTCGGGTGTGGGTTTGGGTGGGGTCGGGGTGGTTTTTAGGCTCACCTGTGCATTGTTGTTGACGCTGCCGATGGAATGCTGATGCTGCTTTGTAAGCCTTGGATATATATATTTTTTCCTTTTTTTTCCTTTTTTGTCCTGTTGAAGACATGATCACAGTTTGCAATCCTTTCAGTAGTGGTTTGTTGGGTTGGTGGTTGTCCGGATTTGAACTCGCCTATTGTGTGTGTGTCACACTTTGCATACCTGCCTCC